TCACTCGCAGGAACTAATTCGGACATGAAAAATTTTAAATCGGGAACCAGTTCGGATCAAGGGTTTGTTTCATCCGGGAACCAGCTCGGAATTAGGGTGACCGCCACGGGAACCAATTCGGGTTCACCCGCGGCCAGGAAACCGCTATAGTATAGGCGGCCAGACTCGTTAAAGTTTTTATATGCGGCGAGGATTTCGTATAAAGAAAAGTATCGTTAGTATTGAAAAGTAGTGTTAAAATCATCTAAAAATGCGGATATTCTTTTTTGAGAAAAAAAATTGCCGATTCCCTTCACTTGACCATGTGACATTTTCTCGCTAATATTTCCTCGCCAATGCGAATGTGCGACAATCGTTGAGCGCGAATAGTTGCATCTAAATTCCTCGCCAACGCAAATCGTGTGTAGACATGAAAAAACTCGAGCGCCTTCAATTAAGTGTGTGTGCAACACGGACAATTGTTGAGTGCGAATACTTGCATCTAAGCGGTACAATCAACACCGCAGCGAGCAGGGTCGCCTGTCGCTTGATTGTTTATGGCAAATTATCATGACGAGGGATAAGTATTCGTAAGACTGGAGGGTGATACAAAAATAAAAAAAACTAGCCGCTCCGGGCGCCCTTCACAGCTAGCAATGGTGGTGCAGTAGCTTAATTGGAATCGGAGCAATTAGTTGAATCTATTTAATAATGATGAATAAAATGTCTGTAACAATACGAGTTATACTCTATGCTTTGCCGATGACCAGATCGTTGTAGATAAAGAAGATGCAGATCACATGACGCGGAAGTTGGTCGAAGAATATCGGAAATGGGGCATGGATGTTAGTGTGTCCGCAAGACAGAGAAGCTGGTCGTGGGAGCAGCGCATCAACGGCAAAGCATAGAGCTTGAGGATAGACGGCGCATCGAAGAGTGTGACGAGTATAAGTATGTCGGTGTTTGGCTCGATCAGGATGGAAGGATGGATAGAGCAATTAAGGACAGGATCATCCAGGGCAGGAGAGCCATCGCGATGCTGAACGGAGTGCTCTGGGATCAGAGCATTTCAAAGGCAAACAAGCACCGGATATATGACGCCATCGTTAAAAGTATCGTGCTCTATGGTAGTGAAGTGTATGGCCTTTAACGAAAAAGAACGCAAGAAATGTTGAGGGCAACTGAAATGGATTTTTTGAGGCGATCTGCCGGCATTTCGAGACGGGACCGTGTCCGTAATGAGAGAATTCGCCAGGTGATGAAGGTTGAGAAAGATATCGTGCACGACGTCATGTCCAGGCAGTTATGTTGGCATAGACATGTGCAAAGAATGTCGGAGGAGAGGTTGCCCAAACAAGTTTTGGATTGGGTACCACCTGGGAAGAGGCGACGGGGACGTCCCGTAAAGGGTTGGCGGCAGGGCGTTGACGAAAAGATGTTGCGGTGTCAGTTGCCCGATGACCTCTGGAAAGACAGGCATATATGGCGTTTGGGTGTCGTAGAACGCCAGAGTGCGTTGTAAAGCGACTTTATATATACATATATATAACAAAAATTAGCCTAACTGTATTTCACGCTGCCTAATTTCCTCTCATATTTCATTTTTTTCATAGAAAACCAGAAGACAAAACGCTTGTATACTCTCTTTAAATCACCTCTAGATTATTGCAAACATTATCTTAAATTTTTAAGTCAGTAAGTTTTTGTTAAAAAAAAAAAAAAAAAAAAAAAAAAAAAAAAAAAAAAAAAACACGAGAGGATCAGGCATTATTCCATGCCTTCCTGCATCTACATCCTCATCTGCACCATTCCGGAACAGGAATGACATCGTTGCGACCTTCCTGCTCTAAACTACTGAAATGACGTCTCGTCGCGAAAACATGCCTGCGGCACTGAACCATCGAAGCGTAGCCAAAACGTCCGCAATTCCACGATCCGAAGAAAAACAAATGTTAACACATCCCAAACTCCATGATTTCGATCTGACGTCACGTAGTGCTCGAATGTGATTCGTTACCGAGGAATGACGTCAGCCAGTGCTTGAACGTGATTGGCCAATCGAGTCGATCGTGTTCGCACTCCTCCACTCCTCCAAGAGAAGACGGTTCGACGCGCGCACTCGGCGATGCGCTGCGCGGTGGCGGCGCACGGCCAACATTAAAATCTGATCAATACTCTACCATCTCGGGCAAAAACAACGTAAGTACATTGAATTTTAGTTGGTTGTTGCGCGGTTTCGGTCGGGGGGGGGGGGGGGGGGGGTGGTACTACAACCTCCCCGTTCTCCACTGTTTGGAGCTGCCTATTTCATTTCGAAGCTTGCGTTTCGCGTAACCACCGTCTCTGCGAGGTTGCCACGAAATGAGACGAAAGTTCCTCATGTCCGCATCTACGACACGAGTCTCCAAATGGACGTATTTATTCTAAAAGGTACTATTTTGCGCGTAATCCTATGCACATAGTACTTCCTAGAGCAAATACATTCAAATCGTATGGATATTCAAATGATGCCAAATTTTCCGCGATAAAATATTTATTTTCTTACTATCGTCAAAGATTTAGTTTTTGCACAAATTGTTGTAAGAAATGTAAACTGCTCTGTTGTTCACTCATTCAAATTACTCTCTGGTGGAAACAATGAATATATTTCCTGAATTTGGAAGTTTACGATAAATAATGTCTTTATTAAAAAAATCGTCGAAAATACTGCATCTTCCCACTTAAAATTTCAAATTACTCTGTGATAATTATTTACTAATCGAATCTCCGACGAAATTGAAGATAGAATATTTCGCGAGAATTCACGCCATTTTAAATTTCATGAAATCGTTACCAACACATAAATTCGGTTGAATTCCCTGAAGGGCTAAGGGGAGGGGGGGGGTACGTTGGCTCTCAGAGCGCTTTGGAAGTAACTCATTCGTGTATGTAATTCTGTTGAACGAGAGAGATCATTTGAAACAGGACTAGCCCATTGAGAAGAAAAAAGAGACTAGTCTGAAAAGGTTTTGGTCGTCAGGAGCGATTAATAGTTCAAAAGTGGGTGGGTACTAGATCAGTTGGGCTAATGATCTAATTTTTTGTCTTTTATCGCCGCACTTCAGTGTGTTCAAGGGAGAGGGATTATCATATTTTTGCGACATTATTTTGAAATCCAGTGTTGCGGTCTTAGGTAAAATTTGTCCATTTTACAATGCCTTTTACGGAAATATCAAACAGTCATCCGCAGAGATGAAGGCACTGTTTATTGAAATCGTTAAGTGTTGGAAAGTATAATCGGAGAAAAGTTGCAAATTTTCCTGATGATTTTGAATGTCAGAAATGCTTTGCTCCTTCCCTCCTCCCCTTTTCCTCCACATCCTCTCTCCCTTCTCCCACTCCACCCCTTTCCTCTTTACACGTACTTAACGCACCCACGACGTATATACAAGACAATAAGGGCTTCTCACTTGAAAGAACGTTTGAGCGTACTTCACGTTAAAAAGCAATTAACAGGAGATGCAAGTAGGTACTTGACGCATTACAATTTAATGAATGACACATTGGAAAAAATCAGTTATACTGTGACAAGAATACCCTTTTCGTGTCAATTTCTTCCTACCCTGAGGAAAATATTTGTTGCATTAAACAAGCAAAAATAATATAAAGTTATGACAACGATCCAGGAAAGTTTATCTATTGTTACAAAATCCTTCATTTTAATCACACATTTTCTGTTCGACAAGGAAAATTGTTCCGTTCAGAACAGTTTATATTTTTAAAAGATTTTACTGGGCCGATTGTTGAAAAATTAAAGCAACGCGATTAGACATCGAATTGCATTGTTAAGGCTATGTCCAGTCGTGCCGTGCCAACAAAGTTCCAATAATCGGCAGGCCGATGCTTTCAGTCTAATTTTTCGTCTTCAATATTTTAATGTCAATATTCTTCAAATATTTGGATTTGATCGATGCTGTTTTTTATATTCGGCGAATGTAAAATAAACATCTTCCCGTAGATTAAAAAAAATTCAAAAAATATCTTACTTCCGATTCGAGTGTGGCGGAAGCTGGCTTACCCGAATGTCTTCCGAAATGATAGAGCTCATTCCGAGAAATAAACCGGACCAGCTTCAGTTTGACTTTAGTTCTAAATAAGAAATCACTATTTCTGGCTTATTAATAAAGATAGAAAGAACAACTTAATCCGCCATAAATACCAGTAAAGAAACAACTTAAAACGGGACTAAGGCCGCAAATAATAAAAAGAAACACATAAAATAAAATAAAAAACCCGTGACGTTTCGCAGGGATCACACCCGCATTTTCAACCGGCAAAACAAGAAAATCAAAAGAAGGACACTATGAGCCTCGCCGTTGTAATGGTGAGAACAACGTCACACAATAACAACGGCGAGGCTCCCAGTGTCCTTATTTTGATTTTCTTGTTTTGCCGGTTGAAAATGCGGGTGTTATCCGTGCGAAACGTCACGGGTTTTTTATTTTATTTTATGTGTTTCTTTTTATTATTTGCGGCCTTAGTCCCGTTTTAAGTTGTTTCTTTCTAATTAATAAAACCACGAACCTGCATAGGGAAACTAATGGTACATGTGTTAATGCTAAAATAAGCCAAAAATAATGGTTCCCCCTAGTTGTATTGACAATGAGTCTGGCTAATGTTCCTGTCAACGAAGGATACAAGGAAGCGGCGTGGATGACGAAGTCTCGACGACGCCCGGACGCCCGGCAACTATCCGTACTTAACGGATATTGGAGTTGCATCTTGAAAAAAGTGAAGGCGTTTTACACGTCTAGACGCTGGAGCGGCGGAGCGCGTTGACGAAACAGCGGATTGACGGCGCAATTTGGCGGCTCCAGGGAAGAGGCTCTCCCGTGTGAGCCACACAATTTTCACCGAGGAGTCCCCTCTGCCTCGGTCCTCCCCTCTGCCTCGGTCCTCCCCTCCCCCTCGGTCCTCCCCTCCCCCTCGGTCCTCCCTCCCTTCACCGCGCGGCGCGCGACTAGTCTGTTGCCGCCCTAGTGCGCCGTCGGCGACATTTCAGGTCACTCGTGCGAAGGTCCTGAGTTCGATCCCCCGCTCTGCGAACTCGCGATGATGATTCATTTCGCGAAACCGCGGACCTCGTTCATTCCGACCGTCCACTGAACCACGGCATACTTGTAGTTCCAACCTTAGTTCGTTTCCTCACCTGAGGAATTCACGAGAGTCACGTTTCGTAAGTTCATAACTCTGTATCCGTGACCTGTGCAAGTTCAACTATGCAGCTCTCAGCCAAAAAAGAGCGTGCTCGTGTCATATAGTTTATTATAAATGTTTTCCTTCAGCCGTGAAAGTTCCTCCTCTCCAAGTTTGTGTCGCAGTTATGCCAGACCTTCCTCATCGACGTTTGCAAAAATGTGAACATCGAGCATACAGAAATGAATCGGTTATCCTGGAGAAAAGCGTGTCATAGTTTACAATTTAATGGGGCCAGTAAGCTAATGCCTTGATATCACACCGGAGGTCTAGATTTTGAAAATAGAAAATTACTGACGGAGAAAAAAAAATTCGACAAGCCTATTTTGATGGGGAATCTCAAATTTAGTGACTTTTTCTATCTTGCCAAGTGTGAATTTTTGCTACACGCGTGCTTTTAAAAGTGATAAAACTGAGAACCTACTATAAAAATCATGAGCGTTGACAATCACTTGTTCTCTGATTGAACAGGAAACGCTTAATGTGTCTCGCAGAGAAATAATATCATTGTGGGTGTAGTCAGAAAGATAGGTCTATTAATTTTGGATAACTATGAATCAACGATGCAGAGGGATCGAAAATGTCATATGATCCTTTTTCTAAGTGACATAGCACTACATTCATATATATATATATCCCTCTTTCGGCTCTCTTTTGTGGAAGGAAAAAAGCTGCTTATTGTGAACGGAAATTTAATAAAGAGAGATTTGTACGGCAACAGAGACGTTTGTTTACCAATTAAATTATCTGAAAGGTTATAGAGGAATGGAAGTCACAAGCTCTTTGAAATGTATGACTAAACATATGAGAAGGTCTCGAATGTTTAAAGTAAGAGAGAAATGAGGAAATGAGGAACGAATGAGCTTTAAGCCTCTAGCCCTCGAAATGAAGAACATATCACCATTAAATAATTGACTGGTTTTGGTTTTATGCAATCCAATAGTTGTTTCTTCAGGATGTGAATTTGAAAATAATTTAATGTACCTATAAACGTATACAAAGAGGCATACGAGACCCTTTACATTTTGATCATGCATTCTGTGGTTCTGAATTCAAGAGAGATTTGTTAAAATTTCTATTTTACCTAATTGTCGTATTTTTATCTTATTACCTACGAAACGGCTCTATACGGATAACTCATAATGCATCGTCGTAGCCATAGGTACTTGCAAACTCGTCTCCGGGTTATTTACAAATAAATCAATTTTAACCAAAACTATCATTAACTTATGAAATTTTTGAGGAAAACTCCCCAGTAACCCGAGACATATACTATCATCTGAATGATATCTAAAAAGTCCATTGCTCTACACACTTGCGCACTAGTGGAGCTTCCCTGCTAAAAGTGTTACATGTAAAATTTTGCATGTAAATACAGTTTCATGGAAAATTCGGATGGAAATTTTTTCCATGAAAATATTTGGCATGGAAATTTTTTCCATGAAAATATTTGGCATGGAAATTTTTTCCATGAAAATATTTGGCATGGAATTTTTTCCCAGATATTTCCATGAAACTGTATTTACATGCAAAATTTGGCATGTAAATAAACCTGCNGCAGGGTTATTATTATCGCAAATTATATAAAATTATATCTGTCACAAATTATATAAAAATAGAACGTTTCCTGTACCTAAATCATCGATGTCATATTTAGGTCTAGAATTTTCTATACCCTAATATCTTCTCTTAAGGTAGTTAAATTGTTTTCATCCATTTGATACTTTAGGGGGTGGAAGTGATGACCGCATTATTCATATTGAGCGCGTTAACTTGGAGTAATAAGTTTATTCGAATCCATCTGTTTGACAAAACTTGGAACATTCAAACAGATACCTACGAGTCACAGAAAGGAAAAGATGACATAAAACGTAATTTAGAGCAAGGATCGATAGTATAGTGAAGGCTATTAAGCTGTGATTGGAGCGTTCCAGCTTTCCGAAGATGTTTACAAAATTTTATTAACGCTCGGCTATAAAACATATAGCTGGTCCTCTTGATAGCCCTCGATGAATACAATCCCCTCTCTTCTTCACACCTCCCAAATTTTCTATTCTCCTTGAACATGCTCATATTTGACAGCATCTGTAGAAAAGGCTGTTCGCCAAAAAATACGTGTGGCGAAATAAGTTAATAAGATATATAAACCTAATTTTGAAGCCTTGGAAATTAAGAGAAAGTACATCAATTGCGACCGTCTTAAGCTCCGTAGAAAAAAGACTTCAGTGATGAAAAATTCAACACCTAAGTAAGAATTTTCACCGCTACACACCAGAATTTTTTTAAGGGGGGGGGGGCATTTTGGATAAAACAATTTCAAGAGTTGCAAACCAAACCGAAGTTACGATTGTTAAAAATCGACATTTCAAGAGTGTATTTTCGAGGGAAAGCTAACCGAAGTTTTAACTGCCTTCTTCAGGGCATAAGATTTTCCTTAGGTGTAGTCAAAAATCAAATTCTTCACCCAACTTCAGAAAATTGATCTACTGAATAATGCGCTTCTTTGGACTAAGGTCCTCATCCGCGTGTAGGGTCACAAAGTATTCAAAATCTGTAGCTGTTTTTACAATAAGAATTTTATCCTGAACCGTGCTGAATCTTTATGGTCAAACAATAACTTTGTTACCTAGAAAACGTCCTCGCCCAACCGAAGTCTTCAATTAGGTAGTACTTTAGGGTTAGAATGGATCAGTTGTGCTAGTCACATACTCTTGTGTTTCAATGATTTCAGATTATCAGCAAAAAATAATGTGATATATTCAAACACCTGATTTCCTGGTCCATTATAAACGGATACCGCCCTCCGAAAAATACGGCGCATGACGTCATTCACCGTGGTAGTGCATAGCATGATTTCCTCCACCCTGGTTTCATTCGTGTTTGAAGTCGAACAGCCAGTGCAAACGTGTACATACCAATATTGATGAATCCAAAGAGAGAGAAACTATGGTATACACTACCGTGTTAGATGATTTCTTATGCCGTGTTCTTTAAAGGGCGATAGATCCTTTAATATTTGACGTGGAAACTGGGCGTTTGGGTACATCTTATCATTCTGTGTTAATTTATGAGCTAAAATAATCAAAACACGAGTCCGTGACAAGCGTAACTAGAGTATATCAATGAAATATTATTTTAGATAACATAGAGAGTGTTTTTGAATCAACCGGAATCAGCTATGCCTCATCTTGCGCTTCGCGTCGGATAAAGTGATTGTCGCCCGAACAAAATTTAAGATGAGAATTCGGCATATGCGCCGGACTGTTTGTACTCGTGAAATTGCGGAATATGAAGTGTAAAATGCAGTGCGGATCTTTGATCCCAATGAATGGTGTCAATGTGGCGGATTTTTATGGTTTTCGCGGAAAAATGGCACGAGGTCTGGGCAGCAAGGGCCGGACGCCAGTTAACACTGAATTGGCGATGAGCGGCTCCACAGCTTACTGACGTGAAGATGTGATGAACATGTGAGTTACCTCTTATTATCCTTATAGCTACCAGATTATCTTTGAATATTCATAGAAATGAAGGGGTGGAAGCAATGGCCAACATACATTTTAATGTTTCAAAGTTTCATCAAGCATCTTATTTCCGATTCATTGAGGCTTTCGACAAGTCACTGAGATAATTTACAATATATGTATATGAAAATGTTGCAACAGTTTTTACGTCAACTAATGAATTGAACCGAGTCTTAACAGAAACACATCAAACCACATTTCGAGGGAAAAATGAGTTTTATTTAAGTACGCGCATGTCTTGAGTTTGTAGTGTGCGATTAATAACTGAATACAATACCTAAGTGAAATAGGTAACTATTCGCGCTCCCGGGTGCGTTTGTTGCCTATGAAGGAAATTGAAGGCGGATCCCAAAGGCACGATATCTATTTGATTTAAGAAAGGTGATGGAGCGATACAAGCATGGGTTCGAGTCAAAGACATAAAGCACGAGAAAAAGTGAAGCCTGGTTTGGCGCTGAGTGCTCGTGTGCGAGTGTGTAAATGAGCGCGGGAATTCATGGCGGGAAACGGAAATTTGATTTGAACTTGCCCTCTTGATTTTGCCACATTTCTTCCTCTAAACGCGTTTTAAATGCCTACAGCGAATATATTAAGAAAGTTGGGACTGCGACTTTTTATAATACACCTACTTTTTCTCAATAACAGGCAGTAATCTCAGATAAAGTTAGTTTTTCTTCTGCTCATGGTGGTCCTGCTGGTTCAAACAGGCTGTTACAGTCCTAGATGACCGTTACTCCCAAATGAAATTAATTGGTCGATGACGGACCAAAAATAACCTAAAGCTAAAAAAATATATGAGGGTAAGTGAATTTGGGCAAAAATCAACCTAGAATACTTTGTTTACGCAATTTTATTCAGTTCCCGCCCTACATTTGAATTTCAAACTTGTCCCGATTTTGCCGCCAATCCTCTAGCCAATAGTAGAGGTGGTTGAAAAGAAGTTTCATTTTTTGCTTTCAGCGCTCTGTCTTTATGTCTTTGATTCGAGTACATAACCATGTTCGCTCCAAGGTTGGTATGTTGACTATGCAGCAAAACTGAGGACGAAAATTCAGATGAACAATACCTACCTATATGGGTTCACAACGTCGTATATTCATTCAATCAAAGCTCATAAAGCGTGTTTTTCGAATGGATTACTTTTCGCGCTCCCCGGTATGTTTGTTGCCTACACGGCGAAATTGAAGGCGAAATGGAAGTGGACGATATCTACCGACAGAATCAACCTCTTGTATTGTGCTTGAGATTTTTACCTCAAGCAAAAACATTGTTTAGAAGACTATTGAGAATTAAATTTACACGAAAGTCTAAATTTTAAGTCATAATTTGTATTCTCCTACTCGTGGCTCGATCATATTTAAATCTATATCTGCTAAGCGGCGTAAGTCCATAAACTCATGAACCCTCGCGTCCCGCATAATAAACAAAAGACAAGGCTCATGAGCTTTTTTTAATTTCGTCCTTTTAACAGGCATCGGTTCATTTATACATAGTCCCTCATAGTCCCTCACAGCATAGATACGACCAAGCGGTGATTGGGAGCATATATGCTCAGATTTTCCGGAACTAGTTCCGAATTTCGGAACTTTTGGGATTTCCCTGAATTTTTCCCGGAACTTTTGAATTTCCCGAAAGGCTCCGGATCCTTTGCATTTTTTGGAACTTTCCCGGAACTTTCGGAAAAATCTAAAAGAATCCCGGAACTTTTGACAATCATGGAATAGGAGAAATACCAACAAACAAGTTCCGAATTCCGGAACTTTTGAAGGCCATGGAATGAGAGCACTGCGACCCATTCGGTCGAGGACACCCCTGGATCCGGAAGACGCTCTACTTGGAGAGTTCATCACCTATTCTGCCGTGCTAAGGAAGAACGCCGTATGAACATTCGAGAGTTGCCAAATTTCCTTCGATAAAATGTTAATTTTTGAGGAAAGTTATGAATATTTTTCCTCGAAATTTTCAGGAACTTTCGGCGAAATTGCGAGTCAAAGTGTCTGGAAAATTGGAAAGAAAATATTCATAAGTTTACCAAGAAATTCGTGTTTTATTAAAGGAAATTTGGCAACGCCAGGAGGTTCATACGGCGTTTTTTTCTTAGCACAGCAGTATTGGGGGAGTCAACAAAAGATCCAAGTGCATGAATAAACGGAGAATGGGCCCACACGGTCTTCGGTGCCGTTGTAGATGTCGGTGGGGCAGGTGAGAATATGTGGGTCATCTTAGCGATGCGCCACTCATTTCGACCTACTAAAATATGAGCGGCCCAGTGCGAGCTGCATAAAAAAATAGTGAAAGCAAACGAGAGGAAATGTGAGACAGAAGGGGGCACTGAGGAGGGGAGGGGAGCACTGAGAACAAAGCGCAACAGCGTAAATTTCGAGCACCGGGATTGTCGTCTTGCGAATTATTTTCTACGCGTCCCCATTAAAATTTTCAAGAATAGAGGGGTGAGAGCAGAGTCAATACGTTTTAACTACATAAAACTAATTACATAACTAAGCAACTAAGCAATATAACATTATGCAACGTAATCAGATGGGGCAAAATTTAAAAAAATTAAACATGCGGGTAATAAGGCTCTTTTTTCCTTGTGTTTTACACAAATGACAGCAAAACGTTTCGGCTGAAAACGCAGCCTTCTCAATTGGGTAAAAACAATGATTTTTAAAAAAAAAAAAATCTGAAATTTTAGCACTCGGCTGTACCTTTCAAGACGAAAAGAATGTTGTTATCAACATTCATGAATGCAACATTTTTGGATATCAACACTCCTCTCGTTTTGAGCGGTACAGCCGAGTATTAAATTTCAGATTTTTAAAAAATTTTTTTCGTTTTTTTCCAACTGAGGAAGGCGAGTTATCGGCCGAAACGTTTTGGTGTCATTTGTGTGAAAAAAAAGCCTTGGTGCCCTCAGTTTAAATTGTTTATGATTGTATATCTTGTCACGGACGGTAGAGCATCTAACATATCGTAGGTAAAATTTAAGTTAGGAGGTTAACACTACTTTTTGCCTAAACTATAATACTTGAGTAATGCTAAAATAATTAAATTACGGAGGTGTTTAACCCTCCTTCCTCCCACAAATTGGCGATTTTGATGAAGAATTTCCTCTGCGAGTCGATTTTTCATCTTATATTTTCGAAAATTCCGAAACATAAACTCAGACTTCCCCTTCTTTCCTTGAACGACGAGTGTCACTTATTATTTTATTAGGTACGGCACTTGACGCGAGAAAAAGAAATATAAAACAAGAAATTTATAAAACAGATATGCATCAACCAATCATCTTCATGCATCATGTAATGTAAAGAGCACCCAAATATTACATTACACTAAATACATACACTAACCTTTTGTGCACATTTCAAAGTTACAGAACAAGAAATTTTGATTTTCGGATAATAAGGCTGAGGAAGTCTACCATGCTATTGCCGGCTTCAGAAACGGTTTAATTCAGATGCTTGCACATTAACGATGAAAACTTGAGCCTGAAATTCTGAATGTATTTTGACCGATACCTACACGTAGGGTGTTCAAAAGGAGGCAAAAAATATATTAGTTTTAAGCAAGTATTCCCTAAAGATAGGTAGGTAATACAGACCCATGGTCCACTAGACAAGGACTGAACAGAACATCACATATTTCCTCCTCAAACATGTAGAAGACGATTCATTCAACGGGAAATTCGAAAATCAGATTCTGAATCAGATATTACGTAACAAGCATTTTAAACACAGATAAAAATATAGAAGTCAGATTATACAATAATGACATCATTTTTATTTTTGCTATTTAACCGTTGCTCGTTGTCTAAACACTAAGTTGATTTCTAAACTTTCCATTGGTGATTTTGTCTTCCTCGTAAAATTTTGAAGAGATATAACGTAATGCGTGCTGCTTTAATTCATACATTTTACTTTTCTAATAGCTTATTATTCACTTATTGTTAGCTCAAGTTTGTCCATGAAAATAGTAAATTGAATGCGATTCGTTATTTTGGCAACATCGTTTACACTATACGAGTGTATTTAGCTTATTGGCTGACGGGATGGCTCCAAAATGTGCAGGGAGGGGGGATGATCAATAGCATCATGAATTATTTTCAGTTTCCGATCACCGTTTATACATTTCCATCCGCAATTAAACTAGATCTTCGCAATTAGGATGATTTACTTTCCCCGCAAAATGCAATTCGTCGCAGAAAATAATTAATTGGAATGGGTTATTCGCACCTGCAAGCAAATCGTATTCAATTCCCAGGTTGATAATAGTTTTATTTTACTCCAGAGATGGTGCCAGAATCGGTGCAAATCAAGCGACCGTTGTACCTACATGGCACAAATTCACAAGATGTCACGTGATATTCCTTTAAAAAAAAACACAGCGAATGGCTTCATTGCACTCATGATTTCTGTCGCATTGTTCTCGTCGATTATATATTCGCGCAAAAACCAGTTTAAATATGTCAACGGCTAAAGTCGAAAAATTTTTGTCTCTGATTTCAACATTGCATAACCCCGTTCGTATTTTATTTTTTGTTTAAGATCAAAGTTGCCGACAGCTTTTCTTGTATGTGAAATGTTTTATTCATCCAAAGATATTTACCTCAAATTATTAGGAGATAGCTTGATTATTTTTCTTTTAGAAATGTTTATCAGAAAAAGTACCTAATCGAAGACTCCCAAATGTTGCAATGGAGATAGGTACGCATTTTCGATTTTAGCTATCGGTATGCATTGCATTCAAGCTACCTTACTGATATGAGGCCGAAGCACATCAAAGAGCTTTGCGTCGAAGTTTCTTCCCGCTTCATCATCGATTGATGGCGTAACGCGAAATATATGTGATTGGAATAAAGTAATTTGAAGGATAAATACCTTGTCTAATAAGTCTATTTCGTACTGTAAAAATATTGCTGATTTGCATCAGTGCTCTAACTCTCC